ACACACACACACACCATAATCAGCGGAAAAATCACATTTGAATGACACAATATTAATCTCTTGGTACTTAAAGGGAAAGGGACCTTTTTTAACAGAACACAAAAGGGTCTCACAAGTGACTCACAAGAAAATAAATGCTTATGTAAACCAAGCATTCAGAACAATAAACAAAATGACCTAGACAAAGTCACACACACACACACACACACACATACAGCACAGATGATGGATTCATTCACACTTTGAACTGAGCTATTCACACACTCACAGAAACATGCATTGTCTCTCCAGTGCATGAAATGGTGACATGAGTGACAAAAGTGTGTGTGTGTGTGGGTGTGACTGACGTAACATTGGCAGCCATGACAAAGCTGGTGTTAACTATTGATTCATGTGCTTCTACATTATTTTAATGCATATTTTGTAATTGGAGGCATGGCGATTATTACTAGAGCTGATTGCACTCTTAAGATGTGTTCTTAAATGTGCTTGCACTCTGAATGTTTTGTAAGCCTGAGGAGGGTCAACTGACTCAATATTTTTTTTATTATTATGCAAACTTGTATAGTGTGTGGCCGGGATTTATATTTTTCTAGTTTATAATGCACATTTGATGAATTATTTGATTAATCATAACTGTCCTCAGTCGTCTGTAAGGTGTTGATAGTGACCTCTTTGGAAGCAGTTTTACAATGTTAAGATTATGTTTAGAGCTGAGAATACATCTTTTAAAAAAAAGGCTTATTTCTGTTCACAATGTGCACAATGACCAGAAAAAAAGAAGCTTTTTCTAGCATGACCCAGTTCTGATATGCGGAGGAGTTTGCACTGTCATCATTAAAAAATAAATAAATACATTTCATAAACATTCAGTATGTAAAATAACATCTCCTGACTACTTCCGCAACAAATAAGCAGAAAGTGTATGATATTTGAGTTGACTGTTAGTATATTTAGCCCCTGAGAGCATCTGTCAGGCAGCAGGGTTCAGTTCAGGACATCACATAAGGTCTGCGCCACAAGTCACATGAACAGAGACACACACACTATATCTGCAGTTGCTGGTGTTATATACAGATTGAGACTAGGAATCCATATGTTCCAAAGCCGGCCCGAACAGTCAAAATCATTGCAACTTTCAAGACACATATCCGCTCCCTATTGCTCACTTTCATCACTGTTCTGGTCTGCATTTCTCTGAACAATCTCAAATTGTATTGCAGCACTTCTTATGTTACTATGGATGAACCATTCATGTTGCTCCCCTTTTTTGTCATTTTAGATACTGAACTGTCTACTAGATTAATAAACGTAAATACAAATACAAAATACAACTGGAGTCTGAGACTACACTGAAATGTAAAAACTGAATTTAAACCTAGAAATGAAGAAGACATTTCAGACATTTCATTTTTGAAAAATAAACCTACACAAAATGCTATAGTCATATAAATATGAAATATTTCTGCACTATTTCTAGATGTCTAATCAAAGTAAATTTGTGATGCTGATCGTACAGACGGTCAGAGGTTCTTTAGAACATCTCAAATCTAAATTCATGTTCAATTTGCATTTGAACTTAAATTGTTTTGATGACAATATGCTGTGTAAACAGAAATACAAATTAAATTTGAAAAATGTAAAATAGAAGCATTCTCACTAGCAGCATTATTAGTGTCAGAAATAAACATTGATTTAATTTTCAGCATTTTTTATATGTTTTTTTGTCTAACCATGTAAAACATTTGATATGAAACTAAAAGATCTCCATTATGACATATACTTCAGTTGAATCAATTAAATGGAAACCATTTTTTAAAAATGGTCTGGTCTTTATATTATAAAAAAATTAAAATATTTTAATGCTGCCAAAAGTTTTTTTCTTCTTCAAGTTTTGGATTTCTTCCCAGCGTTTAAAAGCAGATTTTATTTTCATTTGACATTAGCATATTCAACAACACTTGCCTCACAGCTCACCGTTTTCTACAGAGATCCTAAGCCCATGGCTAGATAGGCCTAGGATAGATAGACAGACAGACAGACAGACAGACAGACAGACAGACAGACAGATAGATAGATAGATAGATAGATAGATAGACAGACAGACAGATAGATAGATAGATAGATAGATAGATAGA